CTCTATGTATCTGTCTCTTGGGCCTCAGGAGTCACTGGTCCCAGTTGGCAGGCTTTGCCCCCATTGCCCTGTCTCCTCTCCCCGCTCCCCCACCAGGGTATGGCTGTGCTGGAGCCTCATCTGTGGCTTATGGGCTCCTGGCCCGGGAACTGGAGCGGGTGGACAGTGGCTACAGGTCAGCAATGAGTGTCCAGTCCTCCCTCGTCATGCACCCCATCTACGCATATGGCAGCAAAGAGCAGCAGCAGAAGTACCTGCCCCGGCTGGGTGAGTGGCTTCCTGTGGAGCTCGGTGGAAGACAGTCCCCGTGGTCTGGAACTCAGGGATGGGGCTGTCCCCTGAGCCTACCTTCTGTTCCCGCTTCAAGGGTAGCAACAATGGCCACCTGGACCCTCTGCCAGAGTCTGGGCTTCATCCCATAAATCCTGGCCATCCCCTCCTAGGTCTCTCTTGACTTGGGCCCCTGCTCACAACCATCATCTCTCAATCCCCCTCTTGATTTGCTTTGTTTCCCCCATCCCAGCCCAAAGTTTAAAGTCTTAACTTCCTGACTGGGTCCAAGAGGCCTCATCTGTGGTCACTCTTGATGGGCAGACTCAGTTACTTGGAACTCTAAATGTACCACTGGGCCTTTGCACATCCTTTCCCCACATCCAGGACTGCTTTCTCCACACCTTCTCCTGTTTAGCTTTCATGCCCCTTCAAGAGATTTAGGTGACTCCTGTGGGTCCCCCATCATGGGATGTGACTATGGCAGGGTGAGGGGGAGACCTGTCCCTTCACCACCTGAAGTGCTGTGAAGGCAGGGCCAGATCTGCCTTAGCCTGGCTCAGTGGAGAGGGTGACCCTTTTCAGTTGAGGGTGTAAATGAGGGACACCTGTCTCATCCCTACAGCCAAAGGGGAGCTCTTGGGCTGCTTCGGGCTCACAGAACCCAACCACGGGAGTGACCCTGGCAGCATGGAGACCAGAGCCCGCCACAACCCGTCCAGCAGGAGCTACACCCTCAATGGGGCCAAGACATGGTGAGGGGCCTGGGTACCTCAGGTGGGTAGGCAGAGGCAGAGGGGTGGCAGCCAGATCCTCACTGTCTGTCCCACCCCCCAGGATCACCAACTCGCCTGTGGCCGACCTGTTTGTAGTGTGGGCTCGGTGCGAAGATAATTGCATTCGGGGCTTCCTGCTGGAGAAGGGGATGCAGGGCCTCTCGGCCCCCAAGATCGAGGGCAAGTTCTCCCTGCGGGCCTCAGCCACGGGTATGATTATCATGGACGGTGTGGAGGTACCAGAGGAGAACGTGCTGCCCAATGCCTCCGGGTTGGCGGTGAGCAGAGCCACCTTGGGAACTGGTGTTGGGTCACATGCCGATTCACCTTTCTTGGGCAGGCCCTGTGCTAGGGACCAGACAGACATGGTCCCTGTGCACGTCCCTTTCTGGTGATTATCTTGCTCATACTGGCTCTGCCCAGGACACATTGGGGCAGAATCAGCTTAATCCTTTGACGCATGCACATCTTCCTGTCTCCTATGTCAGCTCCTATATCTGAACAGCCAATCCAGATCCTGGGCTGGGTAGAACTGTGTGAAAATCAAGAATGAGTAGGCACTGAGCAAGGCCTGCCATGCATGAGCTTTGGTGCCAGGGCTGCGTGTGATTTAACTGTCCTCCCTAAATCCCCCATTTACACTGACTATGTGTCTGGGTGTCTGAGGAGGGAGTGTCCCCCTCTTCAAAGCTGGTTCTGCGCACACCCTCTCAGCTCTTTCCTGATGGAGATAAGGTCCCCTCTCAATCCTATAGGGTCCCTTCGGCTGCCTAAACAACGCCCGGTATGGCATTGCCTGGGGTGCACTTGGAGCTGCTGAGTTCTGTTTGCACACAGCCCGGCAGTACACCCTGGACAGGTGAGTGGGGGCTGACCTGAGAGCTTCAGGTTCCATCCTATACCCCACTGGTGACTCCCCAGCCCAGCCCACCAGACCTAGGCTCCCTGCTGTGTGAAATAGCCGGGGAAGGCCCGCTGAGCAGTGATGGGTTGAGTCAACAACGGCCAGCACGAGTTTGGCAGGGACTGAGGCAGCCTGGAAAGGCTACCTGGGCCAGTGGAGCCCTGGGAGAGGACTGGAGAGTGGGCCCCCTCTTTAACTTAACCTGACCTTGCCTGCCTAGGATACAGTTTGGCGTCCCACTGGCCAGGAACCAGCTGATTCAGAAGAAGCTGGCGGACATGCTCACCGAGATCACACTGGGCCTTCATGCCTGCCTGCAGCTTGGCCGCTTGAAGGACCAAGACAAGTAGGGGCCATTTGTAGTGGGAGGCAGAGTGGGACAGCTGCCACAGGACCCTGTGCTTCTCCTGGGCATGGTGGTTGCTGGCCCTGAGAAGAAAAGTCTTTCCTACCTAGTGGCCCTTGGGGTCCTGATCCCTTTTCTCTTGGCCTTGATGGGCCAGGGCCCACCCTTCTTGTCCCTCATGGGGAGCCTGGTGCCTGCTGCTTTGACTGTAACATGGGGAATCCCCCCCTGGCTGGTTTGTGTAGGGTGTAGGGGTGCATGGAGCAGGATCAGCTCTTTGTAATCAACACTTGTTACATGTCTGTGCTGCTTCCAGGGCCACTCCGGAAATGGTGTCCCTGCTGAAGAGGAATAACTGTGGGAAGGCCCTGGACATCGCCCGCCAGGCCCGAGACATGCTGGGGGGAAATGGGATTTCTGATGAGTATCATGTGATCCGGCATGCCATGAACCTGGAGGCCGTGAACACCTATGAAGGTGGGGCTGGATCCTTCAGGGAATGGGATGGTTGCAGTGGCCTCACTATCTGGGAAAGAGGGGCAGGGACAGCTGTCACCACTGGCAGCATGACATGAGGCAGCTCCCACCCTATATTCCTCATCTGAGTGGCTCACACTGGGACCTGGGATGTGAGGTGCTCTCTGACCTTCCTTTCATGTTGCTTGGAGGTGTTCCCAGGAGTGCTGATGGCTTTCTCAGGCAGCCCCAGAGTGGGGCATGATGCCCAGTGAGCTGGTGATGCAAAGGAGAATACACACAGGCCACTCCATGTTATGTTAAGAGAAAGAGAACCATTTGCACTGTGGTGTTTCCAGCTGGCAAATGGATGTGATGCAAATGGGGTCTGGAACCCATGCCTCATGGGAAAACAGATGTGGAAAAAGTGGGACAGTCCTTGGAGGTGTAGGAGCTTCCTAGGCAGAGACAGTGAAATAGCTTCTGTGTGCTACTCTGGATGGTACATTCCACAGACTAAAAGAGGGAGGGGTGGGGGAATCCTACAGGTGGGAATGACCCTTAGGGTAAGAAGAAAGGGTCTTCAGATGATTTTATGAAGGGCAGGGAAGGGTCAGGTGTGCACTTTAGAAAGTAAACAATCATTTTGCTCCATATAAGGGAGGCAGTAATCTTTGCCTTCTGACCCTGGAAGCTGAAGAGCAAATGAGAGCACTGAGGCATGTAAAGTGTTACCCAAACTCAAGTGCAGGTGGCACCCTCAGGACAGAGTAGCTCAGCTGGGCAAACCATTAAGTGATGTTTGCTTTCGCATCCCTCCTGTGGATGAGAAAGGGCCTGATGTGCGTCCAGAACCCATCAGAGCTCTCCAACTCCATGGAAGGAATCATGGCTCGGTTGAAAATCAAATGTTTAATGAACTGTGCAGGGCTGAGGGGGGTAAATTTGCCACATGTTGGGGCACCAAATCTGGGCCCATGATGGTGGCTGGACTCCCTGCCTTTGGGTCTGGCACAAGCTTTTTGTTTTGTTTTTTCTAAGATGCATTATAGAACTGTGAAAAACAATTTTCGCAGTGTGGCCAGAATGGTGGCCTCTGAGCCTTCTCTTGGTGGCTGTCACCAAGAGGTAACTCTCAGAAGCTGTCAGCATTCGCCATCTTTATGGGCTTGTTCTTCCAAAGTAGTAGCCTGGAGAGGGGAAATGAAGATTGACTTTAAAGGGAAGTGGTAAGCTGTTAAGACACCAAACTGACTTTGTATTTATCTTGTCCAGGTACTCATGACATTCACGCTTTGATCCTCGGAAGGGCAATCACAGGGATCCAGGCCTTCACAGCCGGCAAGTGAATACACTTCACCCAGGAGCCTGGATGGTACCGAATCCCTTCCCAGGGAGCGGCTGTGCTCTGCGCTTACTCAGGGAGGTGGCAGATGGAGCCAATTTTTATGTTGGGAGGTGAGAGACACTGATTTTTAAATTACAAAATTTCCCTTTTGAAGTCACTCAAATGTGCTCCTTATAAAGAAGACGGACTCTGTACCAAGTTTCTCAATCCAGTGGACCCCACTTAGCTTGGAACAGAAGCTTCTCTTGACAAGAAGCAGGGAAGAGAGTGACACAGAAGCAACCTCTGTGAGACCTAATCTGGTGTCTGACGGAGCAACCACCCTCCCTCTGAGTTTCCTGTGTACCCTCTGACCTTCCCATCTGGGGGATAAGTGCCTTATGCTGACGTTGGGGCAGAATGTGGGGGGGAGAATAATAAAGAGTCTGGGAGGGGGGCTCTGGGGGTGGAAATTGGGGACATCTGTAATACTATAAAAAAAGAGCTGCATGTCTGATCCTCAGTGTTGGGCCACATTTACTTGTAACCACTACATGAGTAGTCCTTTCAGTCACAGGGAAATGAACATGAGTGGGGGCTGGGAGGTACTCATGTGGGAATTTCTTGTGCCCCCACAGTGACCTGGCCCTTGTCTGCATCTTTGCCTCTGCCGTAATAAGTAAACCTGGTTAGGCACTGCTCAGGGCTGTGGGTGGAGGGGACTTTGTCCTTTCTCTCACCACAGAGCTGGCCACACAGGAGTGGGAAATAACAGTGGGCTGGCTTCTCAGCTCCAACACCCCATGTTTACAGGAGAGTATGGTGCCACAGCGAGATGGCAGGAGCACCCGGTTCTGTTACATTTACTTTCATCTCAGCCCCTACAACTCCCCTCAGGCAGAGCCTCCTGTATGGGTGTAGTCATACCTCTGGCTGGACGCACAGGTCTTGGAAGTCTTTGTACACGGTCTCCACAGTGTGGCACACTTGTTTGAGCTCTGTTTCCAAATGGCTGATCTTTGCCATTTTCTGGGTGAACTCTTGGAGCTTTTCCTGAATGATCTTGTTGTGGTGATTATAAAGTTGATACATCCTCTCCTCTAGCTTCTCTGTCAGATCTGAAACCTTTTAAACAATATGACATGTTTTTGAAAAAATCAAACCAGAGGCATCATAAGACGTGTGTTTTAGTGGCTCCCTAAGATTTCTGCAGTTTATCATTAAAAATTGTTAAAAAAAAAAAAAAAAAAGGCCGGCCTGTATGGCTCTGTGGTTGAGCAACTACCTATGAACCAAGAGGTCACCGGTTCAATTCCAGTCAGGGCACATGCCCTACTTGCGGGCTCAATCAATGATGTTTCTTTCTTTTTTTTTTTTTAAAAATATATTTTATTGATTTTTTACAGAGAGGAAGGGAGAGAGATAGAGAGTTAGAAACATCGATGAGAAAGAAACATCGATCAGCTGCCTCCTGTACATCTCCTACTGGGGATGTGCCCGCAACCCAGGTACATGCCCTTGACCGGAATCGAACCTGGGACCTTTCAGTCCGCAGGCCGACGCTCTATCCACTGAGCCAAACCGGTTTTGGCTGATGTTTCTCTTTCATCAATGTTTCTTTTTAAAAATTATATTTGTATTGACTTCAGAGAGGAAGAGATAGAAACATCAATGATGAGAGAGAATTATCGATCACCTGTCTCCTGCATGCCCCCTACTGGGGATCGAGCCTGCAGCGTGGGCATATGCCCTTGACTGGAATTGAACCTGGGACCCTTCAGTCCCGCAGGCTGACACTAGCCACTGAGTAAAACCAGCTAGGGCCAATGTTTCTGTTTATCCCTCTCCCTTTATCTCTAAAATCAATAAAAACATAGTTTTTTTTTTTAAAATATATTTTATTGATTTTTTACAGAGAGGAAGGGAGAGGGTAGAGAGTTAGAAACATCGATGGGAAAGAAACATCGATCAGCTGCCTCCTGCACATCTACTGGGGATGTGCCCGCAACCCAGGTACATGCCCTTGACCGGAATCGAACCTGGGACCCCTCAGTCCGCAGGCCGACGCTCTATCCACTGAGCCAAACCGGTTTCAGCACATAGTTTTTAAAAATGGTAAAAAACAACTCCAGTGAGTAGGAGTGAAAATTGCCTATATTAAGAAAAAAATTTTAAAGCAAGATCGCAAAATGATGTATACAGTATAGGGTCCACCAGGTTAAAAAGAAAGTACACAACAGAGACTAGAAGAAAATATGCAACAAAGTAGCCTCTGGGTGGTGGGATCATAGGAATGTTTTTATATTTTTTTCTGCTATGTTATGCTCTATTTAATTTGCTATGTGTACTGGTAGAGATGGGAGGGGGCAAAAAAGGTGGGGAAAAGTCAGCCTGTTGTCAAGAGATGTCCTACTCCTGAGATCCCGTGTGCATTCTGAAGAAGCATCAGGGATAATCATTAACACTGTACCTGAACATAACAGGCTTTGTTAGACATAAGCCCTGGTCATGTTGAGGGATCTCTACTCTGCCACCAAAGCCATTTGACTTCTGGAGGAAAAATGGTTGTGTTAACACAGACTATGCCTCAATCCTCTACTCCCAATAGCCATTAGTCCTGGTGTGTAATAAGGTGGCTGGGCTGTGAGTGCAGCTAGACTTCGGTCTCTCATTCTGAAAAATTATTTCTAAACCTTACTTTTCCCATCTATAAAATGGGTCCATTCTTTGCAGAGCTGTTGGAAGGGTAAAATGAGGTACCAAATGCAAATTGCCTGGCACCATGCTGGGACCATAACATACTCCGCAGTGGTTCATTCTCCTACCCTTCACCTTTTACATAAGGGCTTTCCCTGCCCCACCCACTGGGGTTTTGCAGTGTGTGTGTGGGGAAATCTTGTCACCTTGATCTTGAGGCTGTCCCTGAAGTTGGTCATGAGTGCATGGTCCTTCTGCCTGCTCTCATTGATGTTTTCGATCAGCTCCTGGGCCCTCTTCTTCAGGATCTCAATGCTAGAGTCCAGAGATGAAAAGTAGGGTCCCGACTTCCCTTCCAGCATCATCAGCTGGCGATTGGCACTGGAGGTGGCGATAGAAGGGCTAGAAGCCTGACTTTTGAAAGTATAGGAAACCGAGGTCAGCCCCAAATTCTCCCCAGAGTGACTGACATGAATTAGCTCCATGGTGGGAGAAGAAACAGTGTTGTGTATCTCCCGTGGGTGATGCTTGGTTATTTCATGCACCACTCCTGCCCCGAGCGGCAGGGATGACATCCCTATTTTATAACTAAGAAAACAGACCCGAAGGCACACACAAGGCCTGCCCAAATTTCCAGAAAGAGAAAATCTGCCTGCCCCCGAAACACATAGTAATTTTATAACATCAACTTGCTGTTCTGAAATGAGCATCAATAATTCTATTTATAAATAGTATAGATCAGGGGTCCTTAAACTACAGCCCTGCGGGCCACATGCAAATACAAATATTGTATTTGTTCTCGTTATGTTTTTTTACTTCAAAATAAGATATGTGCAGTGTGCATAGGAACTTATTCATAGTTTTTTTTAAACTATAGTCTGGCCCTCCAATGGTCTGAGGGACAGTGAACTGGCCCCCTGTTTAAAAAGTTTGAGGACCCCTGGTATAGATGCTTTCTTAGATGGATCTTCCTGTCACCAACCTGCTGTATTCCTTTCTAAATCTTTTGGGTGATGTCTGCAGCCTGCAATCCATCTGGGGTTTAGTGTACCTGCAGGACTCTGCTCCCACTAGATGAGGCAGCCAGTCAAGAATTATGTTAAAAGATTTTTTTAAATGCACAAAAAAATTTAGTTATGTTTGTACACTGTACACATAACTATAGTAATCTAATTCAATTAAATGTCATGTTAGTAAAATGGTAAAAAAGTGACGGCTGTCTAATAAAGCTAAATTGAATGAATAAAAGTGAGTCTAATTTTTAAAAAAATATTAAATCAGGTATGGGGAGACAACTATAGATTGGAACAAAGATCATAAACATCTCGAAGGATCTGGCCAATGTGGCTCAGTGGTTGACCTATGAACCAGGAGGTCAAGGTTTAATTCCTGATCAGGGCATTTGCCTGGGTTGTGGGCCCGATTCCTCGTATGGAGCGTGCAAGAGGCAGTGGATCAATGATTCTCATTGATATTTCTATCCCTCTCTACTTATTCCTTCCTCTCTGAAAGCTATAAAAATATATTTAAAATAAATAATGTTTTAAAATCTTGGAGGACTCTGTATACAGATCACTTTGTCATGGCTTGTAAGTTTTCATTCTTCTTTTAAAAATATATTTTTATTGATTTCAGAAAGGAAAGGAGAGGGAGAGACAGAAACATCAGTGATGAGAGAGAATCATTGATTAGCCACCTCCTGCACACCACCCACTGGGGATCGAGCCTGCAACCCAGGCCTGTGCCCTGACAGGGATTCAAACCTTGACCTCCTGGTTCATAGGTCAACGCTCAACCACTGAGCCACACTGGCCGGGCCACTCTTCTTTAAAAACAAAATTGGAAATTGTAGGTAATACATTATTAATGAGGTGTATGGGGGGAAAAGTTGCAATCTGGTCAGCAGTCTTATTAATGTTTTAAATTAAGATAAAGTGTTTAAGCCCTGGCCAGTGTGGCTCAGTTGGTTGGGGGTCGTCTCATGCACTGAAAGGTTTCTGGTTCCATTTCCCTGTCAGGGCTCACACCTGGTTTGCAGGCTCCATCTCTGGTAGGGGGTGTGTATAAGGCAGCCGAGAGGCAGCAGATCTATGTTTCATTCTCACATTGATGATTCTTTTTGTCTCCCTCCCCTTCTTCTCTAAAAATCATTTTAAAATCTTTTTAAAGAAAGGTGAAATGTATAAGGCAAGCTTTATTTACTTACTTATTTATTATTTCACTTTTTCTCTGCTTTATCTGCCAGCACTTTCTATCTGCCAAGCACCTTGTCACTGCTTTGGGGTCTGTCTGCTCATCTTTACCTCATAACTGAGGACACAGGCTCAACCTGGTTACTTTCTCAGGATTAACAGCTAGTCTGTGGCAGAGCTGGGTGTGGCACCCAGCTGGCCCAACCCACAGCCCATGTCCTGCTTCCTCCTGGGTCTTCAGTTTCTCTTTTATCCTTTGAGGTCCTCCCACTTCTGAGACTTGGAGGTGCCAGCCACCACAGGGATTCCTGAACATGCCAGTTCATACACAACTATAAAGTCTGCCCTGACTGGAAGCCAGTCACTGCTTACTTGGAAAAATACATCTTGATTTTTAAAAAATATATATATTTTTGATTTCAGAGAGGAAGGGGGAGGTAGAGAGAGAGAGAAACATCAATGATGAGAGAGAATAATTGATTGGCTGCCTCTTGCACGCCCCCTACTGGGGATTGAGCCCGCACCCAGGGCATGTGCCCTTGACCAGAATCGAACCCAGGACCCTTCAGTCTGCAGGCCGATGCTCTATCCATTGAGCCAAACCAGCTAGGGCAACATCTTGATTTTCTGATGCTTTCTTCATAAAACTATTTTTTTTGGCTTTTTCCTGACAGCCTGAGCTCTTCCTTTTGGCTGAGATGAGAAGTACAGTGAAATCGAGGCCCACGGATCTAACTGTGTCCTGGTCCTCGTGCATTCCTTGCCAGATTGCTTCTTGCCTCTGTGTCTTTGCGCCTGCTCTCTGACTCAACCCATGAGACCTAGCCAGACCACTGCCTCCTTTCAGAAGCTGTCCAGGACCCCTGTACCTATCACTACATTAGCTTGTCACTACTCACAGCCCTATCTCCCCAGAGAGATGGGTCCCATTTATCTTTGCATTTCTAGCATCCAGCACATAGTAAATCCTCCACTGTTTGCTGAGTGAAGGACACCTTCTGTCACACCTATTCCTCCCTCCTTTGGCTTCTCACAAAGCATGCAAGTTCAACAGCCTCCAAGACAAGACACTGTGGCCCGGCCGGCTTGGCTCAGTGGTTGAGTGTTGACCAATGAACCAGGAGATCAGGGTTCGATTCCCGGTCAGGGCACATGCCAGGGTTGCCAGCTTGATCCCCAGCCAATCAATGATTCTCATCATTGATGTTTCCATCCCTTCCTCTCTGAAACCAATAAAATAAAAATTAAAAAAAAAAAGACAAGACACTGTGTCCAATGCATTTTAAGATGGGAATGCTGATATTTCTATAGCAAACATTTACATCAGCTAGAAAGCAACAGACCAACTAAAGCAGTGGTTCTCAACCTTCCTAATGCCGCGACCCTTTAATACAGTTCCTCATGTTGTGGTGACCCCCAATTTCATTGTTACAAATTGAACATAATTAAAGCATAGTGATTAATCACAAAAAAATATGTAATTATATATGTGTTTTCCGATGTTTTAGGCGACCCCTGTGAAAGGGTCGTTCGACCCCGAAGGGGTCGCGACCCACAGGTTGAGAACCACTTAACTAAAGGCTCTGTGAGCATTCTTGTCTTGTTTGCTAAGCAATTTACAACCTCCGAGCATACAATTACTCTTGTTTGTTAAGGGGAGGTAAGGCAGAAGGACACGAGCTCAGATCTGTGACACAATGACATTTTTTTTTTTTAAATATATTTTATTGATTTTTTACAGAGAGGAAGGGAGAGAGATAGAGAGTTAGAAACATCGATGAGAGAGAAACATCGATCAGCTGCCTCCTGCACATCTCCCACTGGGGATATGCCCGCAACCCAGGTACATGCCCTTGACCGGAATCGAACCTGGGACCTTTCAGTCCGCAGGCCGACGCTCTATCCACTGAGCCAAACCGATTTCGGCCACAATGACATTTTAACATTCAGACTTTTGTAATATCTGGATGCACATCGAGAACACACAATGCTTTTAAAAGGACAGCCATGCTTTGCACAGTGGTGATGGAGCTGGGGTCATGGGTTCCAACACCTGGCTTTAACTTCGCTAAGATCTCAAACACTAACTACCCTTCTGTTCTAAACCCCGGGCTCAATCACTTCACTCTCTGTCTGATGGTCTCAGCCCCTCTTCCCTTCTATTCCGTGCCACACCCACTTGCCAAAACCCCACCCTGGCTCTCTACAACCAACCGCTGTTTCCTCTCTCTTTCTCAAAATATTTTTATTGATTTCAGAGAGGGAGGGAGTGGGAGAGAGAGAGAGAAACATCAATGATGAGAATCAGTGATATGCTGCCTCCTGCATGCCCCCTACTGGGGATTGAGCCCACAACCCAGGCACGTGCCCTGACCAGGAATCGAACTGTGACTTCCTGGTTCATAGGTTGATGCTCAACCATTGAGCCACACTGGCCCAGCCAAGCCTGGTCTCTTTTCTCACACTCAGGAACCTGAGCCACACTGAGAAAATCATGACCTAATAAACAAGGTCACTACAGAGTCCTGCTCTCCAGCCTTAGGGGGGTCCTCAGGGCGACTGGGTATCCTGTCTGTGCTCTGGTCATTCCTCCCATCAGCCATACCAAACCATCATTCTCCCATCCCTGACCCCACACTTGTCTCCCCTTCCCCTGAACAGATACAGAAACATGCAGGCCAATAACCCCCTCCACTGTTCACACCGCCCTTCTTTTTTCCAAACTCCCAGCTGGGTAGGCAGGCGAGTCATTCTGGGCTCCCAATCCCATGCCCTGTATCTCACCCTCTTGTGTATTTGTCTACTCCCTTTGGCTGGTCTTCCTTCCCACCCCCAGGGCATGTCTCCTAGCATTTTAAAAACACCATAAACACATCCTCTCCCCTCAAACATCAGGTCTTCCTCAGCCAGTCACCTCCCTCTTTACTCCCCATCACCACCAAGATTCTAAAAAGTGATGCCAACGCTTTCTGAGCACATTTTCTCACCTTCCACTCGCTTCTCAGCGCACTGCAATCAGTTCTAAAATGAAGCAGCAACTGCCTAAGTCCCCAGTGATACCTGGCAGACACCTCCCTTGACTCTTGGCAGCAGCTGGTGCTATTGACCATCCCCCCACCCCACCCCCGTAATTCCTAACACCTGGTGTCCCCAAGCTCTGTCGTTGGCCTTACTCTCTTCCCTTCACAC